GACATTTGGGTTGTTTCCATTTGGGGATGATTATGCATACAGCTGCTACAATTTTTTTTTTTTTTTTTTTACTATGCATGTTTTGTGTGAATGTAAGTTTTTATCTCTCTAGGGTAAATACTCAGAAGTGAAATTGTTCAGTCATATGGTAAATGTATGTTAACTGTGTAGGAAAGAGCCCAGCTGTTTTCCAGAGTGCCTTTACCATTTTGCATTCCCACCAGCAAGGTATGAGACTTCTGGTTGCTTCACATCTTCACCAACACTGCATATTGTTAGTAATTTTTATTTTAGCAATTCTAATAATTGTGCAGTGGTATCACATTATGGTTTTAATACACATTTTTCTAATGATTAATGGACTTGAACATATTTTCATGTACTCATCTTGTATCCATGTATCATCTTTGGTGAAGTACCTATTCAGTCCTTTAACCTATTTTAAATTGGCGACTGTTGTATAGCCAGAGTATTCTCTCAGAAATACAAATTTTATTTTGTCATGTCCCTCCTTAAATCTTGTAAAATGTCCCATTTCTCTAATGTTCACTTATTAAATACTATAAAGGTATTTGAGAACTTTTTATGTTATCCTCAATATCTCTGCATTAGTTTTCTATGGCTGCATACCACATTTTCCCAAAATTTAGGAGATTAAAACAACACATATTAATTATTTCACAGCTTCTGTGTTCAGAAATCCAGGCACAGCTTAACTGGATCTTCTGCTTCATGGCCTCTCACAAGGCTTCAATCAAGGCATTAGCCAGGGCTAAGGTCTTAAATGAAGATTCAGCTGAGAAAGGATGTGCTCCCAAGGTTATTTATGTTATTGTTTGTAAGATTCAGTTTCTTGACACTTGTTGGACTGAGGGCCTTGGTTCTTTACTGGCTGTTGGTCACAGACCACCCTCCTTGCACATGGACCTCTCCAGTGTGGCAGCTTACATCACCAAAGTCAGCAAGAGAGAGTCTGCTAGCAAGACAGAAGTAACAGTCTTTCTTAACCTAATCATGGAAGTGATATCCCATCACTTTTGCCATATCTGTTGGTTAGAAATAAGTTACTAGGTCTATTCCACTCTCAGTGGTAGTAAATTACACTCAGATTTGAATACCAGTAGGATTGGATCATTGGGTGCCATCTTAGGGGTCGACCTCCACAATTCTTTACCTTCTTTTTCTAAATAATGACCTAAAACTTTCCAGTTTCCTAATTCTCTGTTCAGCTATGTCTAGTCTACTGTTCTGTCCAGCCACTGAGTTTCTTCCAATGACTGTATTTGTTATTTCTACAATTTTCACTTGTATTAAAATGTGAGTATTAAAACTTTTCCTTAAATCTCTTATTCTTATTTTCTTCCTTCATTTCTTTCAATATTTTAAATCAACTTATTTGAAACCTTCCTTTATTTTTTCCCCTTTATTTATTTATTTCTTGAATGATAACCTTCCCACTTCTTGTATATTCTGACTGTCTTTCATAGCAGGGGTTTCTTAGTATGGTTTGTAATTTTTTTTTTAAATCTCTGAGTGTCTTCAGTGGGATTTATCTTCCGTTGAAGCATATAGAAATTTTATTTATCTCGTATTCCCTAGAGACATCACTATCAGAGTTATTTTTCAGTTGCTTCAGCCTGAGGTTCGATAGCATTTACAGGTTTGAATCATTTTTATCTTTAAGTTCCCATGACCTACTTTTTCCAGATTTTCCTTATACCCCACTACTATTCCTTCTTAGTTACCTTTGCTGGCTCCTTTTCTTCCAGTTATCTGACTCTAAATATTGGAATTATATGCTATTCTGTCCTAGATCCTCTTCTGTCCTCTACCAACAATCCAGTTCCTTGGCTTTAAATTTTATCTATTGGATGACTCCCAAATCTCTCTCTTTCCAACCCTGGCCTGCACACTTGGATATCTAACTTCTAATTCAACATCTTCACTTTGATATTTAACAGACATCTCAATCTTAGCATTTCCAAAACATTTACTTCTGTATATTCTTAATGTTAAAGTAAAGGAGTAAATACAGAGATAGCAATTGTAGACAGAGAAGACAAAACTAATTCCAGACACTAGCTCAGTGGTCCCCAAACTTCAGAGCTTGAATATGAAAAATTGATTATAAATCCAGATTCCTATGCTACATCTTTAGAGATTCTGCTATAGTAGTTCTAGGTTGGGTGTTGGAAGTCTGCATTTTAATATCCAAGGTGATTCTGACCCAGGGGATCTAAGGATAACACTTTAAAAAACTTTTTCCTACCTAATATTACGCTGCCAACTTCTTTGTTATTTTTCAAGAAAAAGACAGGACTAAATCCTTTCGTCTATGCAACTGAATAAGGCTGGGGATACCAGGAGACCCTATACTTTGTACTTCAATTTTGTCTCAATTGCGCTTAATTGGATAGTTTTCCCTTTCCAAGTAGGCTAATTTTAGCACAGGAGGCATTTTTTAGCTGAACTCATCTAGTCTATGTAAACGAAGTGCCTCTGAAATGGTTTGCTGTGGTTGATACCACATAAAAAGAAAGATGGAAGGTAAGTGTAATTTGCTCAGTTGCTCATTTCTTTCTCCACTTCTCAGAAATCTGCATTCTCTGGTTTTCTAATTTAACATTTATGGTAAAACCAGAGTGGAGAAATTGCCAGTTTTTACAGGTTTTGAAAATCAATTCCTCCACCTGAAGATCAAGGCTTGTGTGACTAGCATATAGTGACTAGCTTTTCCAGCAATTCTGTCTCACCAATATGCTTCAACTTTCAGTTAGGTATATATAAAGACAGGTTATTTTCTTAGCCTACTCAAGTGCTTTCTTCCATTATAAAATAGACCATTTGGAAATCATCTTATGGTTCTACTGGCTGTAGCCTTTAAATCATTCAAATCACAGTTACATTTCTTGTGGGTTCTGAAATCGTGATAGAAATTAATCATCATGAGTCTCAGTTCTGAGCAGCCTAAATAGACTAACTTTTTTTTTAAGTAATCAAGGTTCCATAATTTGTCAAAGATGATGATTGGACAATGATGACCTGGAAATAACTCTACTTTTCCTTTTTTCTCTAAGTGAAATACGAGTTCCTTAGATTTGGAAATGAAACTGTCATTAGGCACATATGTGATATTATGGAATTCAGAACAGGGCACTTCAAAATTATTATTCTTGCCATTGTTTTATTAATAGAGAATGGGGCTAAAACATTTTAGATGCATGTTAATTTTCTGACCATAAGATGTTCACTTGGTATTTTACTAAAAATAATTTACTAAACGATACTGTAGTGTCTGAGAAGAGTTTCTACACTTCTAACCGGTAAGAAATTTCCTCCCTCCCCTCTGAGAGAACTGATTCTGATATAGTTAAGAGCAACAGTGAAGTGGTTATCTTTGGGTTTAGAAATAGAATACAATTTTTTTTTTTTTTTTTTAATCTTAGCTTCCTTTTCTAAGACTCCTCATTTAAGGATAACCCTTTATTTGGGTCAGGTATATTACATGATTGAATGAACTTAGGTTTCCCTCCTTAGAGACTGGCCCTCTGCCAAAAAGAGGAATCTAATATGTTTGCTAGCATGAGAACTAAATCTGCCATGATTGTCTTGTTGAAAATAGGCATGTTAATAGCTGAAATTTTCAAAAAAGATTTGCAGGACCTTGCAAGATTTCGTTATAAAGTGAAAGATAAAATAATAAGGAAGTGAGGAAGAATTCTTGAAAGGAGCAGTAATAATTTTCTAAGGATAGTATTTGTATAGCATATGACTGATACTGGCATGTCAAAGGAAAATCTGGGATGGCCTGGGTTACTATTATCTGCCACGATGTGGGTGACATTACTGTGTTGCAATCTGCTCACTCTGCTTGTCATGTTATACAGAACATCTTATTTTACTTTTCTAATTGGTGTTTGACCTAGTAATATTCTTTCTGACTTGTGTGTGTTATCTAATTCCTCCTGTGGCCAATAACAAATGGGAGAAAAAGTTATTCAATTCAATGAATATTTACCTAATAGAAGAAATAAAGGTGAATGTATTAGTTAGGATATAGGATCAACTGCTGTAACTAAGAGATTCAAAATAACAGCGACTTAAACAAAATGGAAAATTGTTTCTCTCTCATGTAAAGTCTGAGTAGAAACTCTGGAGTTGATATGATAGTTCCACTTTTACCAGAGACCCAGAATCCTTCTGTCTTATTACTCTACCATCCTTAACACATGGTTTCTATCTCATGCTCCCACCATCTCATCTGCATTTCAGCCAGCAGAGGAGGAAAAGTGGAAAGAAAGGCTCACATCGTGTTTACTCATATCCCAATGGCTAGGCCTCAATCAAATGACAACATTTGGCTGAAGAGGAAGCCGGGAAATGTAGTTTTCATCTAGATGGCCATGTAAGAAGGAGAGAATGCTGGCAGTTGCTACCACATGAATATACTCAGAGTTCTGCCGTTATTGAGCTTAAAATATTCTAGCAAGCATAGAAAATAAGTTTACTTAGTTAACTGTAATACAAGCAGGACAAAATAAGTATGAAATGAAATTTATGAAATTCTATTGATTAAAGGGAAAAAAAACACTTGGATATAATGTAAATGTTTATAATTTGAGGAGCAGAAAAAACATCCAGGAATAGAGTCCAATAATGTGTTGCAACTGTGGGTTTAGATAAAGGAGCGAATTCCTGACTAAAAGAGGCTTTAGAAATAGAAAGAAAAATTTAAGAGGTATTAGAATATCTGGGAAATAAGGATTTTTTCAAACTACATCTACTTCTCACTACTCAAAGTCTCTGAGATGCCTCCATAGCATCAAATGTGTTCTATTTGTTGGGATGATGATATGGAGAAAATGAGGAAGACTAATTGATCTAAATCTTTCACCAGTCCTAAAGCCTCCTAAGAAAAAGTAATTCTCTTTATTAGATGTTTCTATCCATCTTACTGAATAGGATCTTTGACTTTTCTTTCTCCTTCTTCCTTCTTCTAGGGTGCTTTTCAAGAAATAACGATCAGCTTTTGGCGATTCATCAGAAGAAGAGTGGGAAGCCAGTATTCATTTACCACCATTCACAAGGTATTGAGAAGAGCCTGGATACAGCCCCTCAAAAGATGTATAAACATAGCTACCGTTTTTCTTCTCAAGCTCAAATAAGCAAACACCACCAAATTGTTAATTCAGCATTTCCTAGACCTGCATATGACCCATCTCTCAATCTGTTGGCCATGGGTGGTCAAGATCTTGAAGTGGAAAACCTTCCAATCCCAGCAGCAAATATAATTGTGGTGGTAAGTATTGAGTTTAATTGATGCTTGTACTGGTGCTTTCCTCTGTGGCTGATGCTTGAAAAAACTAATGGTGAATGGTTATCATTGGATCTCAATGGTTATTTTCTACAACACTTCTTATTCTCTGATTTTGTTTTTGTTTGTTACTTGATTATTGTCTGTTTGCTTTCTTTTGAATATAAGGCCCATGAAATCAGAGACCTTGTCTGTATCCTGTTTGCACAGTTCAATGTGTGGTGCATAGTAATATATGTTTAATATATATTTGAATAAAAAAATTACTTAAGGGTTCACAGTTACAGCAGATCATATCTTGTACAGAGCCTCCTGCCTTCTGTAATAATCTGTTCTAAGCAGATAGACCTTAGTCTCAGCCTACATAAATAAATAATATTTATTGAAGATCCTCTGGTCACTTGACTTAAATTGTAGTAAATGAAAAGACAATGGAAAAGGAGAGGATGGTGTAGGAGGTGGATAGTTTTTTGTCATTGGAGTAAATAAGATGATTTGGGAGTAATTGACGGATAATGTTCCTAGTATCACTTAACATGTATCACCTTTTATTAATCAAGGAGATGTGATAGTCTCATTGCTTATATTCTTAGGGTATGTAACCTAGGCCAGAGGTTCGCAATTTTTCGAGGTATCATTGTGTAAATGCATACTGACGTTGACACCCTATTTGGGCTGTAGTCCCTCTTAAGTTTAAAATCATAACAGGAGGGTCCACACTGAAACTACAGATCAGTAGCTAAATGGTTGTTGTTGCATTTCTGCCAAAAATATAATCAATCTCATTAACTTTTGAGACCAAGATAATTCAATGAAACAATTTTTGCATTTTGGCAACGTCTTTATGCACCAAAATATAATTAATTTTAACAAGTTTCTTGTTCTTTTGCTTCTCTTTATTTTTTCATCTACTATATAAGGCATTAAAGAGCCCTAGTGGCACAGTGGTTAAGAGCTCAGCTGCTAACCAAAAGGTCAGCAGTTCAAATCCACCAGCCCCTCCTTGGAAATGCTATGGGGCGGTTCTACTCTGTCCTCTAGGCTCGCTATGAGTTGGTATCAACTCAATGGCAATGAGTTTGGACATTTTACTTGGCATTGAGAATCAAAGATCCCTTCATTGATGTTTTCAACCAGCATACACCGAGTATTTACTATGATCCAGTTATCATCTAAGATATCTGAAAATAGAGACAAATGAAATGGAGTTTCTGATTTTGCTTGTGACATGTCTGGGGGAAATGTCAATTATTCAATAAAAATCATGAACTGAGAAAGCAAAATGAGCTCTTGTTAAGAGTAAATATGTGGGTCATTTGGCCTCCTGAAATAGTTGAGCAGGTTCTGTGCATTTATATGAGGAACAGATGTTCTGGAAGTGAAAGTCATGTACTCTGTCAATTCTGTGAAGATAAATGATGTTAATGATGTCACTGTATCTGGAAATGCCTGTGTTAATGCTAGGGCTCATGGGAAATACTTTCTCTAGTAACTGTCATATACACATTGTCATCAACTCTTAAAGTCACTATGAATTATGGTTCAAAAGGTTTGTTTTATCTTGTAATGCAATGTACTCTATGGTTAATTTAATATTATTGAGGATAAAATGCATCAATGAGGAATTCTTCTGGCAGGTCATTTCACTTTTAGCTTGTTTGTGGTTTCGAGACTCATTAAGAAGCTGGGCTTTTTCTTTTGGATGATGATTACACCGTGGCAATAGGTGATTTTGCTGCAATACCCCCCCACCCCCAACCTCTCTTGATCTAGCCTCTAACCATGCTGTGGCATTGGTAGCTTGTAACAATTGCTAGTGCTAATGTTTCCTGTAATCCACTTACATTACTTATGCATGTGGTGATTTACTAAGAAAACCTGGGAGGTGGAGTTATTTTTTAAAATAAATCAATAATGTTCAGCTTGCTCAGAAAGCAAAAGGGAAACATGCAATCAAATATTAGCTGGTTTGAAGGTCTATTAGATGCAGAAAAGGGATTTAGGAATGGAGCATAGAGGAAGCAAGGGAGATATTCTGGGACAGCTAAATGAATTTGATGGAGTAATCGATGTGTGTTTGTGCAGATAGAGTGTACAAGTATAAAATTTATATATACACACATGCACACACATATATACCACCAGTTGCCACCAAGTTGATTCTGACTCATGGCGAACCCACGTGTGCTAAAGTAGAACTGTGCTCCACAGAGTTTTCAGTAGCTGATTTTTCAGAAGTAGATTGCAGGTGTTAACTATTTTCACCACTGAAGAAGATATATATATATATATAAAACTATACACACACGTACACACACACACACATACACACACATGTGCGCATGTATATATCCCTTTCAAGACACAATTATTTTCTCCTTCGAATTTTTTGATGATATTATGTGTTTACACTAATGAAGGCATGCTGACTAAAGGACCAATACAGAGTTTTTGGATACACATTATCTGGGATCTCATGTGTCCCAATGGGCCCTGGACAACGTAATCCAGCCAACATGAGTCAATGATAAAATTGTTTTTTTGTTTGTTTTTTTTTTTATTTCTTGAAAATTTGCAAAACATGATGTAAAACTTGAAGGCACCTCAAAATGACCGCACATACATGTTATTCTAGTCTCTTCTTAGCCTTTTTATTATTTTTCATGAAACTTTTCAAAACATAGTACAATACTTTCTTCCTTACTGCAAAAGCAGTACTTACAGCTCAAATAAAAAATTCAATTATCTCAGGAAAACTACCGCTATAATGCGTTCTTGATTACTGCAAAAGCAGTACTTACAGGCCAAATAAATAAAACTAAAGGAACTTGAATCTCAGGAAAATTACCACTCTATACATTCTTCAGTATAACAAAAGCAGTACTAACAGCTAAGAAGCAGAAACAGCTGCCCTGGAATACTGCAGAACTGCTCGAAGCAGTGCATTCCACCTGCTACACATGGAAGCAATGATTGGGCCCTAAGATTGAATGCAGAGTAAGAATACTTATAGGAGTTCCAGTCTCTTGAAAAGTACCATGGCAATGCATTATTCCATATTGGAAAGGCATTGTTTACTGCTGAGAAGCTAGAAAAGAAGGAAACCAGTAACACCTGGAAACAATGAATGAGGTAGAAAAGAAAATGGCCACGATGACTGAATGAAGACAGGTGATAGCTTATTCTCATGATAACTACATTCTCACGAGAATACAGTAACTGGGAAACAATGAGGAGGCTTTTCTCACAGAAATAAAGGCAAAACTATCAAAAGTTTAGAAAATTCAGACATGCAGGAGGCATCACCTAAGACAATGTTCAGTCTACAAAAACAAATGAGGCTCCAACTCAGGGTTCTTGAGTTTCAAGCATTTTAAAAGGCTAAATGAGTTAAAAAGAACTCCAGAAGCATAAAAAGTGGG